GGGTGAGGTGGCAGGGTGAGGGGGGTGACAGGGTGAGGTGGCAGGGTGAGGGGGGTGACAGGGTGAGGGGGGGTGACAGGGTGAAGTGGCAGTGAGGGGGGGTGACAGGTGGGGTGCAGGGTGAGGGGGGATCAAAATGTACCTTTTTCCCTGGTGGTCCAGTGGGGTCAGTCTGGATGGCTCCCTGGTGGTCCAGTGGTGTCAGACTCCCTGGTGGTCCAGTGGGGTCAGTCTGGATGGCTCCCTGGTGGTCCAGTGGTGTCAGACTCCCTGGTGGTCCAGTGGGCTTTCCGGTCTGCAGCTCTGCCGGATGCAGAGCTGCAGACCACATGGGGATTGTCTTGTGATCTCCATTCAGAGCGTTGCCGTGGTAATCCTCAGCAATGCTCTGATTGGCTGGAGAGCGCGAGACATCTCAGTCTGCAGCTCACACCCGGCGGAGCTGCAGACTGAGGCCGGCTCTCTCCCTGGGCGGACTGACAGGAGGGGCCTCGCACCGACATGTCAGTCTGCCCTCAGGCGACTTAGGCGGCCGCAAGGCGGCCGCCTAAATCGCCTAATTAGAGAGCCGCCTCTGGTGCCTTGACCCTGGTCACACGGAGACCAGCAAGATGAACTGGCCGCACGGGAGGAAGAATGGGCGGAGCTATTGTCGTTTGTGGGCGGAGCCTAACTGTGAACGGGGGTGGGGCTTAACACAGCCCTTACAAGCTGCTGTAACTGCTGCACATGGAGGTGCAGCAAGCAGAAATCCCTGCACCTCCACCTAACAGGCTCCAGGGAAGGACTTCAGGCTAGGGAATCCACTCCTCCAGCCCACACTGTCTGTAAGTATAAGAATGTGTGTGTATAACTGCCTGAAACTGTGTGTGTGTGTGTAACTGCCTGAAACTGTGTGTGTGTGTGTGTGTGTGTAACTGCCTGAAACTGTGTGTGTATGTGTGTGTGTAACTGCCTGAAACTGTGTGTGTATGTGTGTGTAACTGCCTGAAACTGTGTGTGTATGTGTGTGTGTAACTGCCTGAAACTGTGTGTGTATGTGTGTGTGTGACTGCATGTTACTGTCTGCCTGTGACTGTCTGCATGTAACTTTGTGCGTGGCTGCCTGTAACTGACTGTGTCTGTAACTGTCTGTAACTGTGTGTGTTTGTGGCTGTAACTATGTGTATGACTGTCTGCCTGTGACCTTGTGTGGGACTGTATATGTGACTGTCTGCCTGTAACAGTGTGCGTGACTGTGTGTAACTGCTTGTAACTGACTGTTTGTGTGTAACTCTCTACCTGTAACTGTGTGTATGACTGCCTGTGACTATATGTGTGACTGTCTGCATGTGACTGTGTGCGTGTGACTGCTTGTAACTGTGTGTGACTGTCTGCCTGTAACTGTGTGTGAGGGGGTGCAGGGATTTTGTAGAGGGGGGCAGGGGTT